TTCTCATTCAGATAAAACAGAGCACCTTGCATGTATTTGGCCTGAAGTCTTATGTCTTTCTTGAAAAATGTCACAAGACATACAGTATATTTTAAACCTATAATAACATAAAAAATAACAAAGACATTCAGAACATGGCATTAGCTCAGTCCGTTTTGTGTATATGTGTCGGTTTCCAAACTTTAACTCTAAGATGAAGACATGGCAACAAAAGTCAAATTGTTTTACTGATGTTCTCATCTTCCATAATGGATGAGGAGTAGGGAATGACTTAGTAGAGCCCTCGTTCTTTTCACTGAGACTACTGTGTTGGTGCAGCAGAGTGCCAACACCAACAGCTGACAGGCAAAAATATGCAGGCTCAGCTTTTACATTGGCTAATTAAATGTGATTACTTTGTGATGCCATAATTTTACTGTTTACTTCATTATTTTTGAGACACTGGATAAAATGCTAATTCTGTGATAAGTTTGTATGTGTTCTAAAATTTGGTCTTACAGTTGTATAAATTATATTAAAAGTATTATATTTCTTATAGATATAGTTATGGGGTATAGTTTTGGGACCCAAAGCCCACTAGTCATCCCCCCACTCCACATAAACACTTATCTTTGACAGATCAGGACAAAATGGTTCAAGATTTTTTTTGTCTTGTTCTTTTGAAATAAATCTAAAGTCAGCTTTTAGAAAACTTAAAATAAAGTGAATTTGCAATTTTGCTTCTTCCCAAATTTTTCACTTCTCTTCCAAGAAAACAGGCTGGTGTCATCAGCTAAGACTTTCAGAGTGCCTGCTCTCAGATGACAAAAGTGCACACAAAATTATGGCTAAAGACAGCCATTTAATAAATGTACTGGGTAAAAGTAAACTTGATGCAAACATCCTGTAATTTCATCATGTATCAATTTGATATGATAGACATGCTTTATTAAATAGGCCTAAAGTGAACGTGTGTGAGTGAGCACACTGTAGCAGCTGTAGCTAAATAAATCCACTTCAACACAGATGCCTAGAAAAGTTAGGTCATTTCCTTTCCTATTTGGAGATTTTTGTTTGTTTTTGTACATGTCTCAAGTGACAAATAAAAGAAATGAGTACTATCCAAATATCCTTTAAATAAAAGGTTTCTGTGTGTCATCATTGGCTATAAAAGAAGGCTAAAAAAACCAACAATTCCTCCAACGCTCTATATACGACCCATATGGTCATGTCCCTTCTTTCTCATCTGACCCATAGGGACATCTCATTAAACAGCACTCCTACAGTAGCAGGAGGAAATGCAACAATTAGTTAACATCAATGAACATTGCACTACCAAGCTTTATGGACCTTTGCCATAATGGAAACATCCATAAACAAGATGGCTACTAGAATGCCGTAATCTTGGAAACTCATAAATATAACGTTATAATTATGAAACCATCATGGTTTCATTAGTTTTTCCACACCACTTACTTGATTGGCCTTAGGCACAAAAACGACTTGGTCGTGTGTACGAATAAAAGCACGTTATGTTTAGGAACAAAAACTCCTGAAAAACACAAGTCACACACTAAAACTCTCCTGTCTCCTGATGGGAAGGTCCTGTATTTGGTGTACCTAGCCATCCAGCCCAACCTCCTCCTAAAGTGAACTTTGTGCCTCTATACATTATTCTACATCATGTTACTTACTCCTTTCCTTCTGTCATAATTAATACAGTTGGTAGATGTCGCCAAACTATAATACATTTGTCATAATAACCTGCCAGCACAACCAATGTATACTTTGGGGGGACAGTCTCTAAAAAACGGTTAGCAGTGCCCTGACACTGCGTTTAAACAGTGAGTTACCAAAGCTGAATCTCCAAATCTGGGAAAAAAAAAAACTTTATCACAGATGACTTAATGACAAAAAAATCGGCTGTGATTGTCAGGCTGCAGGATTCCTTTCTTCCTGTCAGCCCATCTTTATCCTGTGACTCTTTGATGCTTTTGGTTTATGCAAATCATCCTCTTTATCTCTGCCTTTACAATTCATATTCTTTTAAGAGAAAACCTGTCCCATATCTCAATTTCTGTTGCCTACTCCAATTTTTAATACTTTAAATATGGCCATTGTGCTCATTCTCTTCCACCTTATCTTAATATCCTTTCTTTTCATTCCCTATTTCAATTAAACAGACAACAAGAACTTCATTATGTGATTAGCTTGCTGTTTGACATCAGATGAATGCCTTACTTAAATGTGCCCTTATCTGATCTATGCTTTTTGTTATCCCAGTGGAGCATGATTTGGAAACTGACCCTTTCCAAAAGCAAAGCGATGTTTCCATATGTGATGTTGTTCATGACTTGTGCCCACTGAGGCGCATAGTCAAAGCCAAATGAGTTTATAAACAGACTCTGACATGCAAGCTGTCATCTGATGGACATTTGGCTCTGCCAATGTTCATTTGAAGCCAGGTTAGGTGAGCATATGCATGTGCATGCAAACACACACACTCTCACACCATTAGCACCTGATGCTGTCATTCCTCATTGGAAACCAGACCAGGTATGTCCCTCATGAATTACCCATTGCACATCGCCAGGCCACAGTGCAACAGGAACCTGTCAATTAAAATGGATTAATTGCTCATTGCGAGCCTACTCCAACTCAGAAAGGAGGGGAAGTGAAGGAGTTGGTGGAAGAATATTATGAAGGTAAGGACAGAATAAGAGGAGAGGAGAAGAGTGGAAGGTGTTTTCATAGAATGCCATCATTAGTACTTGTGAAAACAATCACAGTTATTCACCAAGACACAGACCCACGGAGTGTACGTATGTACCAGCAAGGCTGCACTTAGTCTGTGTCTGTTTCACACATATTCACAGTGATTGTTCAGTGCTGACTGCTAACTGGAAATGACTCCAGTAGAATTGTCATGGCAACCTCTGACCTCCAACTCCCATCCATCGCTGCCACCCTTCTCTCCATGCATGTATTATAAGCACCAAGAGTGTGGCCTATTAATTTCAATGAAAGTTGCTCACCCAGTGCATACACCAACATTTTTAGGCTTTCTTGCCTCTCGCAACATGAGGAGATTTTTTCTGACTCACTGCCTGGACACATGAGTGACGCCAAAATAAGACTCGTGGGGGCGTTGAATTATAAATATTGGACATTATGGCTTTAATTGTGAAAATTAAAAGACTGGATTTTTCATGTCTAGCTCTAACCCCAGAGACACAGACACAGCATTAACAACTTTCTGGGAAACGAGTGGGAGCTGAACAGGAAATAAAAGTAAGCTGAGTGATGTGATTGAGGATTTGGGGGGGGTTAATGACTGTGCCTTTATCTGTCCCTAATAATCACCTTGTACTTGAAATGAATGATAGCCCCTACTCTAATAAGTGGTCTTAGGTTTATCTGTAGTGCTAATTCTATTCTGAGAATTATTTTTTGCTGTTGCCTTCTTTTATCAGCCTTTGCTCAAGATCTAGTTTAAATTTCTGGCTAGATTCAGAGGTCTGAGTGATTTTATAAAGTTTATGTTCCAAAAATTAACAAATAAATACATAAAAACACCACTTAGGTCCTTTAGAGATCTTTGTCTAGACATCAAAAAGTCAAAAAGAATTTTTTCTCATAATTTGGCTCTCTATCAGTTTAAATTACATTCATTGTAGCTTTTGATTTTCCAAGTGAAGGTCTAAAGGCTGTCTTAAAATATTCACTATTTGTAAGTTCTTAATTGTAGAATGTAAACAGCTCCAGACTGTTAAAGTCCCAGAATAATCACTAAGAATATGACCTCAGTAGTAGCTTGCCTCCTGAGAATCCCAGTATACATAACCCAAGTATCATGATCACATTTGAAGCCCTCTAAAGGACACTACAGGCTTAACCACTCTTTTCTGCAGGGTAGATCCCACATGTGCTCAGCCAATTAGAACTGACCCAGATTTTTTGCATAGTCAAGGTCCTATGTGGTGTACAGGAGGGAAGCACCTGCATATTTCTACTTGGTGGTGGTTGGTTCAAAGATTTTGTCAATTCACCATATGTGCAGGACATACAGAAAATCGAAATACCGTTTTTCTCTCACCTAGCAATGAATGCCATACTATTTAGGAAACAAAGAATAAAGATGAAGAATAACAGTATATAAGGATAAGTCTAAATTGTAGAGCCAATAAGCTGTGACTCAAAACTGTGTACAGTCAGTGACAGTACTGCAAATAATAGATTGTCAGATGGTTCAGCATGACCAGGGCGTTGGTGATGAGGTGCAGATAGCATATGAGGTATACATGGACAGTATTGCAAATGACCAACAGCAGCAGCTATCCCGGCAAAAAAATAAGTCAGTAGCAGATTTACATATGACGGTAAAACAGAGGTAGTTTTTTTTATCTGTAACAAAAAGGGGCAATGTATTGAGTTTGTGCAAACAGCAGGGGTAGGGAGGTAGTGAAGAGTGTTCCGCATCCTCACAGCCTGGTGGATGAAGCGGTTTGTAAGTCTGGTGGAGTGGGCCTGAAGACTCTGATGCCTTCTCCCTGAAGGCAGGAGTCTGAAGGGGGAGTGTGCGGGGTAGGAGGTGTCAGCAATGTTGATGGCTTGGCGGGTGAGGCGGGTGTTGAAGGGTTACGGTCTATTGCCCAACAGCTATAACTATATTCAAGATGAGGCTCCAGCTGTGATCACACCATTGGAATCTACAAGTTCTCTTAAATGACATAATAATTTTCTTGTAAAGTTCCATTCAGAGAACAAGCATTTTCTGATCTGCTCAGCTGGATGCCATTTATTACAAGTCACTGAAAGGGAATCTGTTTAGTTTTAAGGCACTTGAATTACTTTGTTGGGTTTAAAGGAATGATTGTAGTTGGGTTAAAATGACTATGGTATCACATGGCTAAGATGCTGACTGTCAAAAGTGAAGTGAACAGCTGTCGTTTTACTGCATGTTAAGACTAGTCTGTTACTCACTACTGGGTATTCTGGACTCAAGCTCCAGGAGTCAGACACCAGGGCAAAATTTAAATCCTTTATTGTACAAAACATTTTCAAATATATCAAGAAGGCAAGAAGTTGCTGGCCGCCATTGGTAAAGAGGGCAATCAGTGCAAGGGAACTCACAACACCCAGGTAATTAGTCCCTAGGCTCTGGTCTGGCACACCGGCGTCTGGTAGACAACCACAGGTAACTGGTTAGGCCATCGCAGGAATCCAAGGAACCTCATGTTTGCCCAGGGCTGGGGGTCGAATAGCAACAGGCAGAGGATCAGTAGAGAGCTGGACCGGTGGTGACAGGCGGAGAGCAGGAGGAGCAGCAGGAAGTGAGTAGGAGTCGCTCAGTTTGGGCAGAGAGTTAGACAGGTGGTGGCTGGCATGGAGTTGGAGACAGCATCCTCAGAGCCTGGGAAGGAGATCCAGAAGCAGGTGAGTGGTCTGGGCTGGGAGCTGGAGGAGTATCTACAGCACTCCAGAGCTGGAGAATCTCTCTGAGCAGTAGAGAAACACAGAGGGTAGTAGAGGCAGGACAACTAGCACATACAGATCTGGAACACTAGAGGAAACCAGGTCAGGTAAGACCCTCCACACCTCCCCCCCCCCCAAATAAAACTTGAGCAGAGCAGGAGAGGTTCAGCCAAACATGCTTACAGCAAGAGCTGCAGAACAAACTGGCAAAAGGATAAGAAGCAACGCTTTGGCTAAATAATCATGTGGCTTGATTGGAGATAAGCAACAGCTGTGCCAATTAACCTCTAGGCTGAGGACAATGAAAACTGGCCACGCCTACTCAGCTCAACCACAAGGAAAGGAGAGGAGAGACAGAGGCCTGCTTGTGACTTGACAGGGCACTTGCTGTAGAAACTAATGCTGTCGGTTTTCTTGGAAGACAATCTCATTCTAATGTATGTTCTTGATGCTGTATCACACTGCTTTGCCTCTCTAAACGTTTAAGAGGAAGAAGTGCACTTGCACCTCTTCTGACTGTGACACCAATATGCATAGCTGGATTATCAGCCAGGCATAGGGGGCCCATGGTCACTGTGTGACAGTAGTTTGTAGTAATTTGATTGACAGTAATCTGCAAATATCCATCCATCCATCCATTTTCCTCCGCATATCCGGAACCGGGTCGTGGGGGCAGCAGTCATCTGGGCATCTCAGTTAACACAGAGATGCCCAGACTTCCCTCTCTCCAGACACTTCCTCCAGCTCCTCCGGGGGAATGTCGAGGCGTTCCCAGGCCAGTCGAGTGATATAGTCCCTCCAGTGTGTCCTGGGTCTTCCCCGGGGCCTCCTCCCGGTGGGACATGCCCAGAACACCTCCCTAGGAAGGCGCCCAGGAGGCATTCGAAACAGATGCCCGAGCCACCTCAGCTGACTCCTCTCAATGTGGAGATAATCTGCAAATATGCACCAGATTATTAAAATATAAACTTAAATCACTGGTAGCTTTAAAATGCATACATAATTTTAAGGCCCTTTCTTTCACAGCTCTTGTTACACCTACATTATATATGTGTTTAATCCAGTTACCACAAACTAACTTGGACACATCAGTCCTGGGGCAGTATAATATTATATCAGTACTTCATTACTGTTGTAATACAGTTGTTTTGATTTCAGTTTGTACTGCCATTCTAGCTACAGGATTGAAAGCAGCATAAATAGTGGGATGAAAAAAGGGCCCACAACTCATTTTTGTTGCTGGTCCCCTAGACAGGTTAATATTGCTCTGTCAAAATGACATTTAAAACAGGTTGCACACAGTCGGATGGGAGCAGGACACCGTAACGTTAAGATTGAAACAGCCCACGGTGCATGGCTGTGCTATGGATGACGGGAGTGGGAAAACACAAGCATTCACATGCCTCGAAAAAGCAAACACAAGGCACAAATTACGCAGTTTCATCTCTCTTTTCTCAGCATGGAGCAGAGGGGGGAAAGCAGTGAGCTGCACTGCAGGACATGATGTTCCTGAGGTGGAAAAAAAGATGTATTTGGCCAGAGTGCCGCACTGTCTGCTCTCCTCTAATCGGCTTGAGTGGATTGATAGCACTAATAGTTTGTGCTGGTAATATCAGTATGGTATGTTCTTTAATTACGTTTACTGCCACAAATGACTCCAAATAAAATAAAATAAAGTTCAAACAAAAGAAATGGGTTTATTTACTTGTGAACAGTTGTTGTCCACAAGCTCACACAAAGTTATTGTTAAATCGAGGGTCATTAACAGTGCTCACACAAAATGTCCAGCATGGGAAAAATCTTTTGACAATTAATCTGAAAGATAGTTTTAGGTGAGTATGATCATTTCCACCCATATAAGATGATTCAATTCAGGCATATCGGTCCCAGCGGACAAACTCCTCCTGTGACATCTGGGCTGCTCTGTTTGGCAAAATCAATTAAATTCCCTGTCTAACCAGAGCCGCCAACAAACTGTCAACATCATGGAGCGAGGGACCCAAAAAAAGCAACATGGACTCAACAGAACTCAAATCTCTCTCTCCATCTGCCTGTTTGTGTATCCACATGGAAATTGCAGACACAAAGGCAGCGACGACCTGTCTGCAGTCTGTCTTCATTTCTAATGAAGTGGAGGCGGAATCACACGCTGGACGTGATTGACATGGATTTTCTTGCTGAAAGGTGCCATTGTTTTAAACCACACAAAATAAAACATGGCTTTGTAAAGTGTGTAAATTTTCCCACATTTAATGATTTTATCTTGCCACTGTGTCATGGCTGTATCTAATACAAACATTCTGCTCCTGCACTGAAAATCTCGCCAGTTTTCCTTCAGTCTAGATGGAGTGAGATGAGCAGACAGATCCCTTTGACTTTTAAAGACCAAAAACATGTAGTCTAACCTCTGATCTATTTGGATGAAGAGCTCTCCTTGCAGAGCAGCTGACAGGCACTGGATGATATAACAGCACTTTACAAGCTACTGGGAAAAACAAACTTTAAGCCATGAGAGTTAAGGCCAAAAGCACTTAATAATAATTCCACTACACTTGGTCGTTCATCTGATGTATGACTGTCTCTTCTCCAAATGTAGTAAAAATGGTGCACACTAATGCAACCAAATGCACGAGACACACCAAGCTGACGGTCAGTCGTAGGCCACGGTGAGCGTCTGTCACCCTTGTCTTCCCAGTGTGTCCTGCACTGTTGGCACTAGTCAGATCCTGTCAGCAGCTTTTTGGACAATTCAGCGTGTTGAATAGGCATTGGACCGCACTAGCAAAAGAGACCACTCTGATTGGCTGTTGAGCTTAGCGAATCAGTGCATGACAAGACAACAGTTCGTGAAAGCCCATTCGGCCTGTTGCTGTAGTATCCACGATTTCACCCATTTAGTGTGGTTTTTTTCTTGTTATTTGCCTCCACAACTTCCTTTCTACTTCCACAACCAAAAGACCAGGGACAAAGAACGGCAGTGTCATTTGTAACTTCTTAACTGACATATTTTCAATCTGAAGTAGCTATAAACAGCAGTTGTGTTGAACTAGAGCTGCTTTGTTTTACAGTTTGTATTTTTGCATTCTAGCTCTCCAGTTTCAGATCCTTTTCTGAATGGTGAATACAGATACTGCTACCTGCTGGTAGGGGAAGTTATTTCTCTCTTGCGGGCACAAAACAAACATGCTAGTTGGCAGTCGGCTGTAGTCTGTGTGGTGTGTTCAAGTGTCATTTTATCAACCACAATGGTCCAGACAAAGGCAACGTGAGATGACACAACTGTAGGCCTAAATCTCTGCTAGTTCTTTCATGTCGGCTCCAGATTCCAGCAGTGCAAACTAAAACAATTCAGCTATAAAGCAAAGCAGATAAGTACAGCGCACTAGAGCAGTCACTCACAAGTTTTATGGGCCTGAATTATGTAACTAATTCAAGTAGCAGGCATTTATTAGTTGTTAGAAAACAAATCTTATCAACAAGGTTTAACAACTGATGCCAGTATTTGTAGGGTAAACTGTTTCAGATCCAAAGCATGGGTTCGGTTTTACAGAGCTGTTTTGACTTTCACTCTAGACTGTAAACAGCCAAAGACCAAAACCGGTGGACCTGAGAGGCCGATGAGGACAGCGGGGCATTAATGGCTCACTAATATAACTGAAGCAATTTGGAAAATAATACTTGGCCTGGGTACAGCGAGAACAGTCCACTGACGTTAGCAAGATAAAATGAAGATGAGCTCATTTCTAAATTTGGGGGAGAACCAGTCTAAGGCAGTTTCAGAGGGAATTACATCAAATAGAATCACATGATCAATAGTGTCAAAGAACCTCAGTAGAGAGCACTCTCTTGAATTAGAACCCATCACCAAATAATTAATCACCTCAAACCTGATTTTGCAAAAATATGTCTCTCTTAATTGTATAAAATTGAAGCCGGTGGAGGTTTTCCTCAGCCAGTAGCTCTCAACCATAGCTTTTAATTACTTTGCAATTACAGGAAGCACTCGTATGTACATGGTTTCATTTAAATCAACCACCAACTTTGCCAATCAGGCAAAAACATTGTTTTGCTATCGAGACTCTTTAATACTCTGATGGAAATAAACACGCAGCACTACTGTAATTATTTCCAGAAATTTGACTTTTACTAAACTGTGTATCTGTGTGTGTTTGCATGTTGTGCAGCAAAGTGAATGGGTTGTTGTGTAAATTAGGAGCGACTGTGATGAAGTGACCATTTATTTCCGTGCCAGATCCTGATAAACAGACATTGTCCTGCTTCCTTTGAGTAATTTGATGGATCATTTGATCTGTGTGTATGTGTGTTTCCATGTTTTGCATGATTCTGTGCATGTGCATGTGATTAAAGGGCCATCCAAAGAAAAACAAATTAACTCATCCGTGTCTCATGGTCACAACACCAAAGGTAGAAGGGTAGAGTTCACACAGCTGAGGACTACATGGAATTACAGACCTGTTTACAAAAGTAAGCACTTTTATTCTGACTCACTGCTGAAAAATAACACAGTATATTACTCCAGCGTCAAGATAACAAAGAATTACGATCATAATTTTACAGTGGTTCCTTTTTAGCTTAAAAAAAAAACTAGTACTTGTTGTGTTTGTGTTATCACATGCTGGCAGTTTCTACTGTGAAAATGATTGTTTCACCAAGATTCATGTTCCTGCTGCAGACAATGGCTGTTATTGTACCACAGCCATTTTTTATCTTTACTTTTAGAGAAGTGAACAGATGTACATTCTGACATAAACTACTCCCTAGAGAAGAGAGGCACATCTAGAGAGGCTAAGACAAGGGAGGACAAGAGATACCTAGCTATCACCAACACTATTACAAGCTGCCATTCTCACAGTGTTGAACTGAGTCTAGATGAAAAGGTCACTGCTATAACAATGCTGATACTCCAGCAAACCTGTGACCCTGCTTTATATTTATGTTCTGATAACAGCCAGGTCAACTGCTTTAGAAAAAATAATGCAGACATTTCAACATTTCAGTGGTTTGAGAAAACATTGTCTTTTATTTTATGGCTGATATACATTTCATTTTAAACCAGAAGGGACTGATTCCCATGTGCTGCTTTAAAGACAGTGGTTGATTATCTCTGTTTATTTTTAAAGAGATTTCAGCCTGCCATGGTAAACAAAACCCAACGAAAACAAACGGCACACAATCAAACTCACTGTAGCACAGGTCCGTTGGATCAGT